CACATCACCAGCGCATTGAGACTTCGGTATAATGCGCTATACCAAATCCCACTACATTACATTATGAATATTAAAATATTATATTGTATTATAATTATATTTGTTATTGTTTTTTTTTCAGGTCAGTATTGTACAATTGAAATTGATGAGTGCCAATCAAATCCATGTCAGAATGGTGCCACTTGTGTAGATGAGGTCTATGGCTACAACTGTCAGTGCAGAATAGGGTACATAGGTAAGTCACATATTTTTTACTGTTTGAGGTTAGGGCCATGTCACTATTAGAGAAGAAAGTTTTATCAAAAATATTACTTGTTACTAAACCATAAAGTTGTTATTCGCACCTTTCCAATGATTTTGGTTTATTTCAATTATTATTTTTTCAATCTTTTCAGGTCCAAATTGTCAGCTTGATGTGGATGAATGCGCTACTAATCCTTGTCTATTTGGAATATGTACTGATTTCATTGGTTTCTACACGTGCCAGTGCTTTGCTGGCTACCAAGGTAACACAAACACCTTGATGTAACAGTGTTAATGGTTTTAATTCATTTGATATTAAATTTGGTCTAATATGTAATAATGGTACTATAAGTACTGTAATTATAATGGTGCAATATGTTAATAATGATAATATACATACAGTCATGATAATAATGAAAATATGATAGGAATAATTATCATATACTATTAATATTAAACATAAGGAGGATTTTATTATTATTATTATTATTATTATTATTATTATTATTATTATTATTATTATTATTAATTCAATTAATATATTATTAGTTAAAGGTTAAAATTGTATATATTCTTTTATAAATACTTATAAAACTATAGTTTAAAAATGTGGTCTATTTTTGTAAGTTTCAAGTATTTGGATTGTGCTTTAATGCATGTATTATGTAAATATCATGCAATTCATCTTATGCTTCATATAATTGAATTGAATTGAACTAATAGTAATAATACTATTGGTAATGATAGAAATAATAATAGTGATAATGATAATATTGCCAATAGTAATATAATAAATAATGATAATGATAATATTTCAGTGATACATAATAAAACAGACTGTAAATATGATAGATACTTGTATAGATAATTAATGCCTGGAGAATCAGACATTGTTTATTTTTGTTTTAAAACCAGGTTTCAACTGCACAGATGATATTAATGAATGTTTATCATCCCCATGCAATAATGGAGCAGTCTGCACAGAGTCGGTCGTCAATATGTACCAGTGTATC